GTTTGTGGGTTGGATAGTGGGTTAACCAATTCTTTTCCTTTTTTTTTTCTTCCTTCTCTAATTATAAATGACGTGTAACATTTTTTTTTAAATAAATAGTTTAACTTATTATCACTATTTTTTAAAACATCAAATTTCTAAAGACACCATAAAATACATCATAAACATATTTGCAAAAACTAAATTCACGTTACATTAATACCTAGAATTTGCTTAAAATATTTACTAACTTATAAGAATTAACATCAAAATAATCAAAGTGCAGTAATTTAAATAAGTTAAAATTATTACTTACAAAATAACATGTGTTTAAAAAATTATAATTAAAGCAATCAAAATTAAAGACATTAAAGTCATCACTAATCAAATTACAAAAAATAATCACTCAATAATCCATAAAATTTTGTGGGTTGGGTGAGATTACCCATAACCCAATAATTTTGAATGGTTTTTTATTTTTAAAATTTATGTTCACCCAATAATTCGATTCAATCCATTTATTTGGTTGATTTGGGTGAATTTTACTGAGTTTGTTGGGTTTATCCAACCAATATTAGTTTAAGTGTGTGTATATATATATATATATATATATATATATATATATATATATATATATATATATATATATATATATATATATATATATATATATATATATATATATATATATATATATATATATATATATATATATATATATATATATATATATATATATATATATATATATATATATATATATATATATATATATATATATATATATATATATATATATATATATATATATATATATATATATATATATATATATATATATATATATATATATATATATATATATATATAAGTTTTTAAAAATATTTAATCTCCTATCCTAAGTCACTTCATGTATATACCCTTTAAATTTTAAATAATAACTTTCAAATATTTTTAGAACATTGTAAATATGAAGAAACTTTATATGCAAAATCAAGATATAATATTTTGAAGTTAATGTTTAATAAAAATAGGATATCGGATAGTTGTTTATAAGATCCAGCTGCTAAATTAATACTCAAAAGCCATGCTAAGATTGTGAGTTTTCATTGCACAACACTCTAAAGCCATTTTACATTGTAAATGTATAGTCAGAGTCAGTTATTTAAAAAGACAGTGAGACTCCTATCAAAAGGTCTTAAAATTTACAATTTTGGAGGTCTCGTTTAGATATAAAATTCTAAAATATAAATTTAAAAATTGGTATAAATATATTTAAGAATTAAAATTTTAGATATAATTTAAAAAAATTTAATAGTCCTAATAAATATATTTAAGAATTAAAATTTTAGGTATAATTTAAAGATTTTTAATAGTAAAATTTACGTTGAGTGGCTGAGTAACGAAACTCAGGTGCGTTGAGTACGGTTTATTGTTTTTTTACATAATTTTAAATTAGACAATTGTAAATTAAGATGACAACTATAATAAAAAATGATTAAATTTCTCTTTTGAATCATCTATGCATAAATGTGAGAATTTCTATGATGATTTCTATATAAAAAAAATTGACTTAGTTGTGACTTTTTACAATGTAATTTTTGAATCAGACTTAGTTATGACCTTTTACAATGCAACTTTTGAATTTGACTTAGTTATGAACTTTTATAATGCAACTTCCAAATTAAGGGTGTTTGCAGACTAATTTGTTTCGGTTTCGAGAGAATCTGATATCCGAACTAATGAAAAATAATTGGATTGTTTTGGATTGAATTTCTATATTTTTAGAATAAAGCCCAAACCGAACTAATCTGAAAAATAATGAATTAGTTTGGATTGGATTGATTGAATATATTAAAAATAAATATACAAAAATATTTTTTAAAATTATTTGTATACACACTAATATATGAGAAATAAACAGTAAACACATGATACACATATTTTTAAACAAGTTATGACCATTATAGTTATATAGTTGTAGTATTTCACTTAGCAATAACTTAAAACAATTTTACTGCATACTCATACTCTATTCCATATACTCTATTCCATAGCATAAAATTGAAGATTTGCCGTTAGCATATACTTGTGATTTGAAGTTTGCAGTTTGGGAAGAAGCTTGTGGTTTGCGGATACTTATAGTTTGCAATTTGTAAGTTTGATTTATAATGATTGTGATGTTTGATTTCTCTATGTTTCATCATTGATTGACATGTTTGTGATAATTTAAAAAATATTGATCTGTTTTTCATTGGAAATGTCAAGAAACTGTATCTCTTTGTTTGTTTCATTATGGTTTGTATTTGGTAATTGCTATAAAAATTATTCTCTTCATTTAAATAAATAAGTAATAATTCAATTAAATACAATAATTTATTATATGAATTAATCATGTTGATTGTTATTTGTTTGTTTCGGGTTTATGAGTAACAAATTAGAAATCTGTTGCCCGAACCAATTAACATCGATTTTAATTGATTCGGTTTGGTTTTTGCCCAAACTAAAAAAATGCCCAACCTAAACACATTGGTTTGGTTTGAATTCTGATTTAGTTTGAATTTGCTCGAACCAATAAACACCCCTATCCCAAATGATGGGAGCCTTCGATCGCAAGGCAACCCACTTCGTCAAAGTAATCTCATAGATGTTGGGAGTCTTCAATCACTAAGACAAATGTTCTATTGCACGTAAAATAAAAGAGATGTTTTTACAAAACACATAATTATACATCGTGATCCCCTAAATGTTGGGAGTCTCTAATCACAAGAACACTCTTTGTCAAAGCAATTTCCTAGAGGATGAGAATAATGGTGCTAAAAAAAATTATCAAACCGACTTGAATTGTCAAATCAAACCAAACTAAAGTTATAATAATCAAACAATTATGTTTGATTAATGAACTGAACTTATACTGCATAACGGTTCTCAAACCGAATCAAATTGCAAATAAATCAAATCAAAATTGAAACAGAATGGTAAAAAAATCCTAAAATGACAATATGCATTATAAGTGAATAGAACTCAAACTGAAACTAAAAATGAACATGGTAGAATGAAAAAAGATGCTAATTGAAGAACTCTAAATCCTCAAATATATTAATCTAGGATAGAATGAAAAATCCTATGTTCCAAATCAATGAAATTCTTAACCCTAAATCTCCAAATCGGTGAAGATCCTTAACCTTAAATCTCATTTTGTTTATAATTTAACCAAAAAAATTAAGTTCATCTGAGCCCCATCTCCACGTCTTCGTTGGTGTTATGTCATCGCAAACTCGTTGGTCATAAGTCAAGTATCTCTTGCAAACTCTAGCGGTGTTATGTCATCGCAAACTCAAGTATTCATATATGTCCATTGTATTTTAGGCAGTATACTTGCTTTTTTCATTCGAATTGCGAGCTTCGAGGAGAAACGAGTGGGTAAGGTACATATTCATGACTAAACAAATTCCCACACATAATTTTGATAATTTGGCGCATGTTCAATTTTTCACAAAATGACTTCAAGGAGAAATGATGCTTCAATTAGAGGCACCATGTTAAACAAATTTGCTACAATTGTGAAAGCATTAGTCGAGAATATGGTCTGTAAGAGTATCGTGCATTATTCAACAGCGAGACATTAAATGAAGAGGAAATAGATCATTCGACTCCCAGAGGTATTTTAATCGATTTCAACCGAAAGAAGGGACAGAGGATTTAAAGGGGGCTTCATTATTTATCTCCTGGATTGATTTAACTGTTAGTCTGTTACTTTAGTTGGATATTTTTGTAGTTATATCACAACCCACTCCATCAAGCTTTGTGCACCCTGCCACGATTACATTCCATTCTGGTAACAAGTACACTATCGTGAAACTTACCTGATTAAGGACATTACCTATGGATAGGGCTAAAATATACTCACACTTTGGGATTTTTGTTAACAAAATTATACTGCAATTAAACATGTCTTAAAACTCCATCAGCAATTAAACATGTCTTAAAACATGTCTCAAAATTATATGGTGGTTGCGTGCTCGTGCATAAGCATAACAATTAGGTATCAAGCATATGATAGGAGGCATGAGCGTTGTGGATGTCCTAAATCAATCATATGTCACGGGACAGACAAAACAGGAATCCCATCTTAACTAATGCTGAATTTTATTGAGTGACATGCTGTAATTGCGCACCTTTTGCAGTCTGGAGGCACATTTTAGTAGAAATTGGCCTGATAAATAATCCTTCCATCTATTATTTATTAAGCCTGTTTATTATGTTCGGTTACACTAATGTCTGATGTTGCTTGAGATTGATATAGGTATTGGCTTAAAGGATTGTTCTGCCCTTTGATCTCTAAGAAATGGGGTTGTTTTCTTAGTAAAGACACTTGCTTTAGTCAAGAGTAACAGTAAAGATTTCTGAAGTGAAGCTATCACAGTGTGCAATATAAATCTAACTACTTTGGCTAATTCAATTTGATATTTGCTAAAGCTCTTATCAAATTCTTAACAATTTGATTCATGGAGTAATGTGACTGTGCAGTATAAATCTAACTCCTTTGGCTATTTCAAATTGAATTTTTTGCTTAAGTCCTTATCAAGTTCTAACACTCTAGTCATTCCCTTCCTTTGCCCCATGTGTAGAAACAAAACTATCTAATTCTAAGTCAAACTATAGAGAAACTACACCCTGATATTCTTAAGCAACAATAGCAAGTGATTCATCTCAATTTGAGCATGCCTTTATAAAACTTAAACAGCATAAATGGTATGAAGCAGGTTACCAAAGATGGTCACTAGCTTAACAACAAAATGAAAGTGCATCTGTCAAAAATATACATATTGCATCAATAATCCTACAATGATTATTAATGTCAGTCACCTAAGATTCGCACACCATCTTAAATAGTGAATTAAGATAAATAGCAATGCAATTAAGTACAGAGGGATATGAAAATTCAACTCAACTCAACATAAGCATAGTTTATAAACCAGTTCATTTCAACTCAACTAAAAACAATAGAAATGTACTCACTATGGCAATTTCCCGGATCGAAAAATTGCGAATTTGGAAGCTACTGAGTATGAATAATCAATTTGATTCTCCTTCAAGAACTCCTCCAGAATGCGTTTAGCTTCTTCTGGATCAGCACTCTCACACTCGATCTCATACAATGTTCCAAAATCAAAATCAGTCTCATCAACTTCCAATTTCAACCCTTTCCAATCATAAACATTTCTCACGTTCCGAAAACCTCCCAACCCTAAAAACCCATTTTCACCAACCACCCCAAATTCCTCCTTCACCCTTTTCAGAATCCTCGACTCCAACAAACCCAGCTTCCCCGGTTCAGCGACACAATCACGACCAACCTTCGGATCCAAATCCTCTTCGTCTTCTTCAACGCGACTCACACCGTCGACAAGAACCGCCTTTGCTTTGAGCGAAACAACACACCGTTCATCGTTTCCGTAGAATCGGAGACGAAGAACGGCACGGCGAGAGGAGAGTTCAGATGCGGCGCCGTCGAAGAAGAGATTGTGTTGGCGATGGGTTATGACGTGGAAGGGAGAGAGCAAGGTGGTGACGCGGCGATGAGTTTCTGCGTTTGCAAGACGAAGCTTCACTTCGACTTCCATTTCGGAAGGTAGAGAGAGGGAGCGGATTGGAAAGAGATTAGGGTTAGAGGCCGATGCGATTCGCTTTGGAAGATGGATCTTCTGCGCGATCGAATTGACGGAGGAGAGTAGCAGCGCCAGCGATGGTTGTGGTGGTGTTGGCGGCGGTGATGGTGGCGTTACGACGGCGAGCTTCTTCGAGTTCTTCTTTGTCTTCGATCTTCACTTCGATTTTCGATGGCTTTCTTCTCAGCATCTTGTGGCTTTGAAGAACAGTACACGCTCGTGGATAGATTCCCTTTTTATTTTTTTCATCTTACTCTCTTAACCGTAGGATTCAATTTTTGTTTTTATTTGGAAAATTTGTAATGGTAGTAATCATTCTTGACCGTTAGATAAAAATAATAAGATTTATATTTTTAATTTTTTTTAAAGCTGTTTTTGTAGAAGTTAAAGTAGGAGTCCTCTAATTTTTTTTTGGTTTATTATTCTTTTATTGACTTTATAAATAGATTAATTAGTATTTTTAATATTAATAAATAAATATAATTGATTGAATATATTGTAAAAACAAAATTAATCGTTAACATTTTATATGTATACATTAATAAATAATTAATATAATTATCATATACTATAATTATTATAATTATTATGAATATTAATATATTACAAATGACTTTTTAATATGTATGAATAAATGGTGTAAAAAATACTCTATTATTTTGGCAATTTAAAAAAGTTACATACAATTATTTTGTCTATTTCTATTTTTATTTTTTTTAATAATAAAAAAAAATATGTCTTTTAAAAAATATATAATGAAAACAATAACATACTTTAAATTGGAGAAACAAAGTAATATTTTTCCGATCCTTTCTAACGATTTTTGATCAAACCTCTAGTGAGCTGTTATAGCGGTCGAAGAGTGCGGTCGAAGAAGGAGACCAAAGAAGAACAAGGTGTCATCACCATCGATTATAACTACACTTTTGTAACAATTTCAAAAAGGATGATTGTGAGATAGGATCTACTGTGGGTATCGAATCCAAACTCATGGAAGAGTTGTGACGAGAAGAAGGAAATCCTAGAAGGTGAATCCCTTGAAATCCCTACCTTGATGAACACAGATCAGGAAAAAAAGGAAACTCTGAATGAAGTATCTCTCAAACTATGGGTAAATGTCATTAGTGGGAGCAGAATGCCATTAAATGAAGCAACAATTGATTATGTAGCCCCCAACCTTGTTGAAAGAGAAATGGAAGTGAACATCGAAGAAGCTGACATCGAATCTGAAGTTAAATTATGGGATACATCCTTAATCATGTATGTCATAGGAAAAGAGCTTAGCACGAATGTTGTAAAACAGTACGTCATTAAGTTTTGGAGTTTTGTTCAGTTGCTAGAGTTATACTACCATGAGGATGGGTATTTTCTTCTGAAATTCAAATCCCATAAAGACAAAGACCTTGTGGTAATAAGGGGGTTGTATACAATTCAAAACATGCCAATGGTTCTTACGGATTGGACATTTGAATTTGATTTCAAAAGGTATATGCTTCAAACACTGTCTTTCTGGGTTAAACTTCCTAATGTTCCTTTACATCTTTGGGGCGTGAGAAGTATTGGGAAGATATGGAGTGCCCTAGGTAATTTGTTGTTTACAGATAAATGTACTACAAATAAACTAAGGGTATATTATGCTAGGATATTGGTGGAAATTGATATTATGCAAAAGCAGAAATACTACATCATTATCAAGGATAGTGCACGAAACAAAGAAATCGAGTAATGGAATATGAATGGAAGCCTATGTTCTATGAAACATGTCAAAAGGTATACCATCAATGCAAGCCCAAGACTAAAAAGAAATGGCACCAAAACCTCATCAGAACCAAAATGCACAAGAAGAGACTAAGAAAAACAAGGAGGAAAATCATGAAGAGCAAGACAATTCAGGTTGGGAAAATGTGAAGAGCAGTAGAAAGAATAAAGGTAAGGGTGTCATGAACTCAGATACTCGTGAAAGTATTGTTTGTCAAAATGGATTTGATGCCCTTAGGAATGGAGATATGGGGGGATCAAGTGAAGGGGTACCATGATTACTTCTTGGAATGTAAGAGGGGTAAATAATCTAGGAAATTGCCATGAGGTAATCTCCCGCCTCAATAAAATGAATCCTGATATTGTTATTGTTATTGAAACTAGAGCGAAATCTGAGAATGCTGTGAAGATTAAGCATAAATTTGATAAGAAGTGGAATGTGATTGACAACTATGTGGATCATAGTAATGGTAGGATTTGGATTTTATGAGATGAGACCAAAGTCAAGGTGATACCCCATGAGAGCTCTCCCCAATTTATCCATTGTAACATATACCATTTGAATGAAGTGTTGAAAATATGCTAACTGCAATATATGCTTTTAACACTTTAGAGAAAAGGAGGAAGCTTTGGAAGGACATTGAGCATATCCATGCTAGCATAAATGGTCCCTGGTTTCTTTGTGGAGATTTTAACAATGTCCTGAAAGCTCAAGAAAAAAATGGTGGTAGTTTGGTGCATGAAAATGAGTACAAGGATTTGGTTCACATGATGGAGCAAACAAGTCTTTTTGAAAAAGATAGTATTGGTGACCATTTCACTTGGTCCAACAACCAAATAAATGGCATGATTTAGTCTAGAATTGATAGGGTCTTTGGCAACATAGTGTGGTAGAAACAGAACATTGATATTACTCTCTTCATTCTGAATCATGGAGTATCTGATCATGCCATGTTGAGTTTGCATAATAATGCTCATATTAGACTCAATAGAACTCCCTTCATATTCCAAAGTGTGGTTGTCAGTAAGCAGGGGTACAAAGATGCAGTTAAGCAAAGGTTGAATGAGTCTCTTACTGGTAATCCTATGTATGTCATTTGGAAGAAGTTATAGAGACTTTAACTTATCATAAGAGATATCAACAAAATCTTTATTGGTATAACTCAGCAGCTGGGAGAGGCTATAATAGACCTCACTAATGCCTAAAATAGCCTTCTTCGAGATAGAATGAATGTCCAGTTGATTGATAAAGATAAAGATTGTACTAAGGAGGTTCTTAGATTAAGTAATATTGAAGAGCGGGTTTTGAAGTAAAAAGCTAAAATGGAGTGGTTCAAATTGGGGGATGGAAACAATGCATGTTTTCATGCTTCCTTGAAATCTAAAATATGGCAAACTTAAATTACCAACCTAAAAGATGATGATGGGAATATCCTGTATCAGAAGGAGGACATAAAGCAAGAGATTACTAAGTATTCTGAGAAGCTCGTAGGAACAACTAATAGAAATCTGACCAGTATAAATATTGTTGCTTTAGGGAAGGGTCCTCAATTAACTGAGAATCAAATAGAAGGTCTGATAGCCCATATCAATGAGGAAGAAATATTCTTTAGTCTTAAAGGTATTAAGGACATCTCTGCTCCTGGCATTGATGGTTATAGTGCTAAGTTTTTAAAAGTTCATGGGACATTACCAAACATGATATCATCAACTCTACTAATGATTTATTTGAAAGGAAGAAATTGTATAAGGCCATCAATAGTACTCTTGTTACCCTCATCCCAAAGTCTACCATAACTAACATGGTTAAATACTACGTGCCAATATCTTATTGCACAATCATATATAAAATTGTATCTCAAATGATGTTAGCCAGGCTAGGTAAAGTTTTAAGTAGCATTATCCATAACAGTCAAGCAGCCTAGATGTGTAAACCAAATGTGATTTATTTTTATTCACATGCTCCAAAATAACAGTCAGCTGATCCTTAATGTCTTCATGCTCCAAAATAACAATCTTTCCTTCATCAAGATTTTTTACTAGTTTATTATATTGTTCATGATTCTTGTTCCAGCCATGTTGAATGAAATATTTGATAACATTCAGATCCTCACAATGTAATGTCATAACATCTGTCTTTTCATTATATTTCTTCAACATCTGTCTCATCAAAATAAATAAAGAGCAATTGCTTCCTGCAGCAATATATTCAGACAAAGACACATAATTTTTCTTCTTATTGAACCAAGAAATAAGATTGCTTTCCAAGACGAAACATCCTCCAAAAATATTTTTTCTATCACTACCTGTCATACCCTAAATTTGTCCTACCTCTTTTCAAATATTTTCTCATTTTTCGATTGCCCGCATAATTTCATGTCATTTAGACACGTGTCCACTCACAATTGTGCGTTTTCCAATTTTTATCATTTCTGGTCAATGAGAGCATGACACGTGGCCTAAAGCTGTTTTTGTGAATTTTAATTCTGTCATGTTTTCTTAATTCTTTATACGTATATTGTTTGGTGTAGTAATTAGTTTTTTAATTTAGAAATTAGAAATAGAATTTAGATTTTTTAGTTAACTAGACTTTAGAAACAGAGTTATTTAGAATAGGATTTTTATAGGAATTTGATTAGATTAATTATTTAGAATTTTTACTAGAAATAGATTTTTAATAAAATTGAATTAGAACTTTGTTTTTAGAATTATAATAGAATTAAGAATTTAGAGTTTAGAATTATAATAGAATTTTATTAGTTTAAAATAGATTAGAAATAGGTTTAGATTAATTAACTTAGAAAATAGAATTAATTAGTTTTTTACTTAGAATATATAATTAGTTTAGATAGGTTTAAAAAAATAGAATTATAATATTAATTAGGAAATTAGATTTAAAAATCATTTAGTTTAGTTAGAATTGTAATTTTTAGTTAAGAATAGATTATAATTATATTTTTTAGTTAGCTAGATTTATTAGGATTTAATTAGTCTTAAGTTTAATTAATTAAAATAAGTTTTAGTTAGTATTATTAACTGAAAATTAAAAAATAATAATAAGAAAAGAAGGTTGATTGTAGAATTGAACCCAGCCCACAGATTTGAGGCCCATAAGGATCACACGGTTTAAAAAGAAGAGAGGAATTGGTTGAAAGGGAACCCTGATTTCAGCTATTGTTCATCATCACCTTTGGAAA